ACATCTCTTCCATCTTTATTTGACCCTCTAACTCTAGCACTCTCTATTCTAATTCTATTCTTTAAAAAAAAACACTTGTCCCTTTTAGACTTGCACTCTATTTATTTGCTGCTTGTTTTCTTTAAAAAAAAACTAACACTAGCTTTCTAATATTTTTGTATTCTATCTGTTTTCTTTTCATTTATTATACAATTAACAAAAGAAAAAAAGACCTCTAACACTAGCTTGCTATATTCTTTTTCTATCTGTTTTCTTTTTATTTATTATATTATTTTAAAAACTCTTGCTATGTGTACTGTGTTAAGCTAAATGAGACTTGTTATAGCACTTGTATATCATTGCTCTTTTGTTGATTTTGATTGCTTCCATTGTCCTCATTTGTAAGTCGCTTTGGATAAAAGTGTCTGCTAAATTACTAAATGTAAATGTATTAAAACAAGTGACATTTAAAACTCTGTTATTAATAACATCTCAGGATAAACATGGACAATGGCATGCAGCAACTGGAATGACATACATATGAAAGGAAATCAGATGATACATACAGTATATGATGACAAAAGTCTAAATACAACTGACAACATATTTAAACTGATTATATGCAACATATGAAAAAGGAGTCACAAAGGAGTTACAAATGACATCCGTGTAGATGCTTAGCATTGCAGCATGTCAACTACAAAAGGAAGAACCCCCATTTTGTGATATTAAAGCTTAGATACTTAAGATATCATCATCTTAGATATGGATGTTAACTGAAACCAGAAGGTTGACTTTTGAAGAAATTAAGACACATGATCAAAAGAAAATGGAAAGCATTGATTCAAACATTTGAATGCATCTGCCAGAAATATATACAAATGCCTACAAAAGACTGTGGGCAGATCTTCAAATCTAAAAACTGTTTTATGCTTCTTATGTTATTGAGTAATCATCAGTCATGTATTGATTTATACTATAGGAAGTGGTGCTTTCGCATTTTGTCAGTTTGACTTAGGTGAAACATACTGGACTTGGTCCTCTACTGAGGACCACATTTTCAAGGATTAATTACAGCAAAATTTTTTTTTAATTATTCATTTTAGATAAGAATATAATTTGGCTTTTTGTCCCCTGGCCTCCATCCTTTCTGTAAGTATTGCCAGATAGCTCCAATTTTTCAACTATGAAGAGATAAATGCCAGTATTTAGTATTTAGGTAGGGGTTAGAAACATAAGTATGTATATGTATATATCAATATAGTACTTAAAAGTAATATTATACTTTTATTTTAAATTATTACTACTTATTATATTATATTATTATAATATAGAGATTTATAAGAGATTTATAAGAATATTTTCAAATAAAAATAATTGCCACAGCAATTACAGATTACTATACCTTCACTTCACTCAAATAAGACTTTTTAAGAAAAAATTGTAATTTTTAATAAGATTTACTTTTTTTTTTTTTACGTAAACATATGCAAACATGTCTATCATAATCAACAAACTGCTCTCACCCAATCATATGTTTCCCGCAGCCATATAGGGAAAAAATGCGACAAGCCATGTCTATTATTAACTTAAGTCCAATTAAAGGTGTTGTTGCTACAGCTGATTTGTAGTGTTTTTGACAAGTACAGGGTTTAAGCATTTGTTAATTAGAGGGAGAAAGTTTTAAAGCAAAGTGATTGTCTGTTAGTTGCCTTTCAAGTGGCAGCTCCTCAAGAGTTTAGGGAGCTTTGCATTCAGTCTGGACTCTTCAGAACACAATGCAGCGCTCCTCAGGGGACAATACAAGAGTTTTAGACAGACTCTAGCCATTAGTGTCTGACAGTACTGTCCAGCCGGTTTATCACGCGCTCTCTTAGCGCTTAACATACACACATTTACCGTGCTTAATGCTGAATAGTGGTCTACAGACGAAGCTGCTAAGCTTAAGGTGCTTAAATACTTGTAAGCTTGCATTTAATCATCATTCATTTCAGAGAAGGTCCATGGAGTCTACAAAGAGGCTCTGAAGAATTCTCTTAGCAAACTAAAAAGTTGCTCAGGTACCCTCAGTCCAATTTGGAGGACAGTAAAAAAAAAAAATAATAATAAAAAGTTAAGCATTTATGCTTTCCTGTAAGTTGTTTTAACACAGTGTTCAACTGCAATGGCAAATCAATGGCAAATCTCACACGTAACGACATGCCTCAATCGGTGAGATAGTTGTAAGGCAAGCCGCTTCACAACTAACACTTTGCTCGGTTTCTGAACAAAGTGTGACATGAACACCAAATGGCCACAATCAGGTGGTGCAGGTTGAAACCATGCGATGGTGTGGAAGTCCTCCTTACCCCCGGAGCCCCACGCGGTGTTGACGTTACCGTTTCTCATACCTCGACTGCGACGGCGGCTGCGGTTTGGGTCGGTGTAGAAGGTCAGCTGCGGCTCACTGTCCGCCTCTGTCCCAGAGTCCCCGTCCGGGTTCAGGAAAGTTGAACCCGCTGTAGAATTCACACAAAAACCATCCATCAACTAATTCATCAAACCAAACAGAAAATGTGTAGGCCCAGTGTAAAGTTTTTAGACAAACCTTCAAGTTATTCTGCATGTAAAATAACCTTAAACAATGTAGACAGAAATTATGCTTATCCCAAAAAGAAAAACCATCAACATTAATTATTGACTGACTATCCAATTAAATATTAGACTATTTCAAAGTCAGTTTAAAAGACATACAAGAACATTTCCAAACATAATGTCATTCTGAGGTTTTGAAATTAAACAAATGTGACAGCATGACAATAGATTTGTGTGTGTGTGTGTGTGTGTGTGTGTGTGTGTAATTGTCAATCCCTTTGTTTACTTATCTAGCATTATTGATTAATACAGCAAGTAATTATAAAGAGCTACAAACCACAAACAACAGATTCATTAGAAATATCAAATTGGAAAGCAATTTGATTCTTATAATGAGGGAATATCTTACAGATAATGCAGCAAAACCACAGCAAAAATGTGTGCTATTTAAGTTCGAATTGTTAAGGCACTATACACTATTGTTCAAAATTGAAAATTTGGGGACAGTAAGATGTTTTAGTTTTTTTTCCAAAGAAGTCACTTATGCTCACCAATAATTTATTTATTTATTTATTAATTTTATTATTATTATTTTGGATTAAAAACACACTTTTAAAAATCCTTGCTAAATAAAATTAGTACTTTCTTGAAAGAAAAAAAAATCTGACACCAAATTTTGAACAGTAGTGCATGTAAAGAAATGTTAGATATCAATCAAAATGTGTTTATATGCAAAAATGTGAATGAAATGATGCAATGAATGACATACAATGATAATTCAAAATACAACAGGGGAAAATATTTACATATTATAAATATAATACTGTTTTGACACAAAACGCTTATACTATAATAAGGTTTACAAAGCACTAAAATAAAAGATATATAAAACACATTAGAAACTGTATAACTGCAAACATACATCACACATAGCACACACCAATGTGACATACAGAGAATAAGCCACAGTAATTGTCGTTCTGTGAGATGCGCTTCTCCTCTCAGAAGAGTATTGGGTAAATATAAGTAATGAACAGGAGGTAAGGAGTGTGACTGAGATAAGAGATGCATGCTTCCTTGGGCTCTTTTTTCGCCGTGCACAAAAGACACAATTTACGCATCAGAGCTAAACAAACGCTTTCATTATGCAGCGCGTGAGGAAGAGATGCATGAGCGCACTGACCCGTGGATTAGACCGACTCGCGATGATGAGAAATAATGTTTGAGTTACTCCGTATTCACACAACAGTGTGGCTATCCATTAAAAACATCTTCTCTGGTGCAGAAGAGAATCAAACAATTATCATTTATAGATGAGCCATCTGTATGGAATGAACCAAACGATGCTTTTTTTTTTACAATATCATTTCATACCGCCATAAACAACACATAAAATATTCAAAGCTGTGATGCAAACAAGACACAGGCAGGTCACAAGAACAGCAGAAGTTGTTTGGCCCTACAATGAAATCACAAATCTTAAAAGAGCACAGCTCTGAAAGTAATTATTATTATTTTAGCACATCACCGCATTACAGTGATTACTATTTTAGCATTACTAAAATAACTGTTTTCTATTTTAATATATTTTAAAATGATATTTATTCCTATGATGGCAAAGCTGAATTTTCAGCATTATTACTCCAGTCTTCAGTCACATGATCCTCCAGAAATCATTCTAATATGCTGATTTACTGTTACAGTAACATTCTTATTAATGTTGAAAATAATGTATTAATGCTGTCTTAATGTTGAAAACAGTTGTAATACCTTTTTCAAGATTCTTTGATTAATATAAAGTTCAAAAGAACCACATTTATTTGAAATAGAAATCTTTTGTAACATTATAAATCTCTTTACTGTCACTTTTGACCAATTTAATGCTGCTTTGCTGAATAAAAATCTTTCTCTTTCTTTTTTTTTTGTTTATTTTTTACTATCTTTTTTTACCCCAAAACTTTTAAATACTAGAATTGCATTGTTTCTACAAGAATCTAAAGCAACTCAACTGTTTTCAATCTTCATTATTCCGAAATTTGACTGCCAAATGTACATATATTTATATTTAAATGCATTTAGTGCCTGGTTAAACTGAAAGCTGGATTAATAGACTGCAGGCTTTTGTGCTTAAATACCATGCAACAGTTTAGTGAATTCGACCCTTTTGTTTCAAAATGCCTTAAGAGCACAACAGTAAAAATGTCAGCTTGATTATATAATGAAAATCTAACAAAAAGCTGATGAAACACCTGGCATTTAAGACTTCAAACGCTAACAACCATTTCGAAATGATACACGCTGGCACGCCAATGCCTCTTTTTGTCTTCGTAACAAATGAGAACAAAAGAAGCACCTTCAAAGGAATTAGCCGTAAACCTCACAGAGCAGGTGAGGATTGTGCGCTAGCCTCCACAATTAGGCAGGGGCCAAAGGCGCAAAGCTCCGTGGAGGGGAATAAAAGATGAGCTTGTTTAAATATTCAGCACTGAGCACCAACAGCTTCTCGGCATGCAGTACAGGTGCACATGCCTCCTACAACAAAAAAGTTATTTTGTACAGCCAATCAGGGTGGTAGAACTCAATCATTTGCAAGGTCTTGGAATCACAGTGTTACCAGAATGATCTCGAAACGAGGAAAGGTGAAGTACGAACACCTATGCAACAGTTTTAATTTGTCTAATGAAAAATTAGGGGTATAAATAGATGAGGTGACAGAGGCAGGTGTGACTGAGGAAAAAAAAAGAAGTACTTGAGAGAATCTGTGCACTCACACACGTTCTCCTCCGGCGACGTGAACGGGTGTCTAAACATAGCCTTTAGCAGCTTTCGTGTTCGCAGATTGCTCTGAGAGCTCACTCATGAACAGTGATACAAGGTTTATTAGAGAAAAGACAGACAAGAGGAACCTTCTCAAAGGGAACAGACGTTTTGTCATAAATCAGAGAAATAGTAAAAATTCAATAATATAAGCAATATCAGTATGAATATGAAAAGCTATGGAAATCTGGAGTTGCTATTTTGGAGTTGTCAGAAAGAGCTTTAAGAGGCCAGTAACCCAAAGTCAGACTCAAACCCTTATAGAGACAAAATCATGCATGGTGGATTTAGTGGGTTGGCAATACACAATCCGCCTACATAAATAACGATTTAAAAAGTTGAGATATTTAGAAGATTATTTCTTGGCATTGTTAAAAGAAATAAGCAGTTCTCAGTTAACAATACTGTAACTATTACTTAAATAGCAACTATACACAGACGCAGACAGTATGCTTTTGTGTTGTGTTGACAGATATGCCATTCTTGATTTTTGAAGGAAATTAATATTTTTAATAATCAAGGATGCATTAAATTGATAAACAGTGAGAGTAGAGACATTTATAATGATACAAAAGTTTCTATCTCAAATAAATGTTGTTCTTTTGAACATTCTATTCATTGAAGAATCCTGAAAAAAGGCATCACAGTTTCTACAAAAATATTGGTAACACTTTATTTTAAGGACCCAATTTTAGCTATTAATTAGTTGCTTATTAGCATGCATTTTACTAGCATATTGGCTGTTTATTAGTACTTATAAAGCACATATTAATGCCTTATTCTACATGAATATATTTTAGATCCCTTAATCCACCCTATACCTAAACTTAACAACTACCTTACTAACTATTAATAAGCAGCAAATTAGGAGTTTGTTCAGGGATTACATTTTAAAATATATCTAAATAGAAAATTTAATTATTTTAAATTGTAATAATATTGCACAATATTTCAGTATTTTTGGTCAAATAAATGCAGCCTGGGTGAGCATAAAATATACTGTGCCATGAGTACTTTATTACTGTAAGTAGGCTGTGAAAGTGTCCTATAATGAGAAAGAAAAATCTGAGATAAAGTGAGTAGCATTCGACTGATCATGTGATCTCACACACTCTAAGACTAACGGCTTTTATTAGATAGGACTGAAGTCTTCATGGGAGTGCAAACTTTTAAACATTTTTTTTTCTATTCATTTCTGTAAAGCTTTTTAATGAGGCAAGAATTCCTGAGTGCACCTTTACATTTTTATATTTATATGCAGTGAATGCACAATCCAAGTGCATTGGGTATTAAAAAAGGCTGGTCTGAAGGTCAGAGAGAGGCCGTATACATCTGCTGGACTGAGGTAATGAAGCATTAAAGCATGAGCAGAGAGTCAAATATTTGCCCAGCTAGGAAATCAGATTCTTACTCAAGGAAAACACTTCACTGGACATCTGCTAATAGTGCTCAAAGTAAATCTAAGAGAAAGGCGTTTGTCTTTTATAGTAGATATCTATAGGCATGTTTCCCTAAAAACCACCACCAACAACCAATATCAAAAGCACACCACAAAAGCATATGAACACCTCATCAAATCATAGTTTTTGGTGGCCTGATCAAACCAGCAATGGGATAGCAAAGAGAGTGGAAGACAAATATTTGTGTGTGGTTATGATTACAGAGATAGACGTGGTTGCAATGAGATCTGTGTGGATGGAAGGGGATATTCAGCGGGGGTGTAATGGCTCAGATTTCTCACGGTTCGGTCTTTATTATGGTTCTGTGGTCACAGTTTCTGTACAGTTCGATTAATGCCAATAAAAAGAAAAATTAATTAAAAAATGAAATTAATACTTTTGTTCAGCAAGAATGCATTAAATTGCAAAAGTGACAGTACAGACATTTATGTACAAAAAGAAAATCTATTTCAAATAAATGCTGCGTGCTGTGTAAGCTTTGTATTCATCAAAGATTCCTGAAAAATTATCACAGTTTTCACAAAAAAAAATATAAGCAGCACAACTGTTTTAACTGTTTTATTTCTAAATGTTTCTTGAGCACCAAATCAGCATATTAGAATGATTTCTGAAGGATCATGTGACACTGAAGACTGGAGTAATGACTGCTGAAAAATCAGCTTTGTCTTCATTGGAATCAAGTACTTTTTAAAAATGTATTAAAATAGAATATAGTTATTTTCAATTGTAATACTGTCACGTTGCACACACACTAGGAATGAGGAGACGCTGGAGAATACTTTACCAAGACTTTATTTGCACCAAGGAACCAAGGGAGACGAACACAGGAAGACGTTCACACGAAGACGTTCACATGAAGACGTACACAGGAAGACGTACACAGGAAGACGTACAACAGCGGACAGAGAACTTGGGACTGGGAACACATTTTATACACACACACAGGAGGAGGGGATGACGAGACACACCTGGGAGCAATAAACCATCATGGGGAACACCTCGGACAAATTAAACATGGGAAAGGAACACCTGGGGAGCAAGACACAGACAAAACATGGAACAGAGTCTGACAAATACTATATCACAATATTACAGAATTTGGTTTATTGGTGCATTTTGATTGTTTTTACTGTATTTTTACAAAAATTGTAGTGTAATTGCTGCAATTATGTGTAATATAAGTGACTTGAATAGTATATAGGCTAAGCTAGCAGGCTAATCATCTAGTTTAGTACACTAAAATTAAAGACATGACATAAAACAACAAAACAACAATATACCGAACCGTGGATGGCAAACCGGTTACAGGAACAGTTTCACCCCTGATACCCAGACTCACCGTGCGTTTTGCTGGACAGACGCTTGCGCTGGTTGGTGGAGGTGTTGTGTGGGAGGAGCGTGTTTTGCTGGTGGTTGCTGTTGACAGGACTGGTAGCTATGATGTTATCCTTGTACTTGCTCATTAGGGACAGCTTTGTACTATTGTTCCCTGATGGAAAAAGGTTACAATTAGGGATGAAAAGAGGCAGACAGATGAGTGCCAAATAACAGTCTACCAAGGGCATGTGGAGACACTATATGTAAACGCGTGTCATTCAGAAGGACAACACTAAGTGGTCTATGTGAAGTATTTTCAGGGTTATGTTACAGTGAAGCAACTAAGAACCTTCACAGCCCAGCGATTCAGGATATGACATTCCGTCATTCACCATTATGCAATATCGCCATCCCCTGTAGTTTGTATGCCCCTTCATAATGAGTAAATTGCACAACAAAGACAACTGGCACTGCAGGGTTTTTATTGTATTAGGCAAATTACTGTGACAGAATTAAATCGCTCCTCTCCTGCAAAGCTTTTTCGGGGTATTTTTTAATGGGCTACTGTTCAAGGCAAACATCAACATCCTTTCACATCTGATAAGGGGGGCGGCCATTCCAAATTCTGTGTGTCCAATATACATGGCCAATCTGGCACAGACTCAGGTCTGGTCATGTGACTTGCCTATATTCTTGACTATAGCAGAGTTTAAATGGGTGCCATGGGTACCGTGAACCCACGCCAAATAAACTTAGCAGGAATACATAGCATTATTACTTTGATATTTTTCTGGGAAAAATAAATAAATGAATATGTCATGTTGCTTTCCTCTCTGCAGCTGTTTTGATATAGGCTTTATCCAATTTCTGCAGCTCGCATTTAACCCAGGCTTTCTCACTCGCAGCCACATATCGAAAAGGCGAGCTCTGCTGCTGACTCTTGAGATCTCGAGGTGAAATAAATATTTCTCGCATTTAACCCAGGCTTTCTCACTCGCAGCCACATATCGAAAAGGCAAGCTCTGCTGCTGACTCTTGAGATCTCGAGGTGAAATAAATATTTTCAGGGCCAGCAATGTGCAAATGATGTGCTTAGCACATGCAATTTAAATCTCACCAGTTCATGGATGTAAAAACAGATTTGGTGTCACGTTGTGCATATGCATAAACCAATGTACATGACACACGGTACAATATATTATATAAAATATATTTAATATAATATATTTATTATATAAAATATAATATAATATATTTTATATTATATTATTTTATATTATTAATATTTTAATTAAATGTAGAAAGAACTTCAACATGCTTTGATCATGTGCATTCACTTATGCATTCAAGGCCTAGTTGCCAAGTTGTTTATATATCTCTGAAATTAGGCACTAAATCAAAACACTGAATTAGGAGTGTGAATTAATTTAGTGAATGATTAAAGCATGCTATTAAAATTATTAAGGTTACTGTCTGAGGTTTTTTTGACAGTTTTATAGCCCAAATATTGTTGGGCATGTTAAAAGGGTATGTCGCTCAAAAAATAAAATTATATCATTTACTCCCTATCATGTCATTCCAAAGTTGTATGACTTTCTTACTTCCATAAAACATAAAAGGAGGCACTTTGCTGGTTGCTCTTTTACATGCAATTACAACAAATGGACAATGAAGCATGTACATTTAGAGGATGTAAAAGCACCATAAGAATTATTATGAAAGTGGTTTATATGACTTGTGTGATATATTCCAAGTCTTCTGAAGGCATAGCTTTGTGTGAGAAAAAGCTTGAAACATAATTGTCAATGATGTAATTGAAAATCATGATATCCACTCTCTCTTTGGCACGTGCATGAGTTATTTTCAATGAATCAGTTGATCCAGTTTACTAAGCCATGAATGCTTGTGTGAATGATTTGTTAAAGCATATAAAGACTTCCTAATGAATTCATTTTTTTTTTAACTAGTGCTGTCAAACGATTCATTGCGAATAATCACATCCAAAATAAAAGTTTTTGTTTACATAGTATGTGTGTGTACTGTGTAAATTTATTATGTATATATAAATACACACACATGCATGTGTATATTTAAGAAAAATATGTTACGTTTATATATTAAATATATTTATATATGATATAATTTATATGAATATAAATGTATACATGTAAATACATGTAAATATTTTCAAAATATATGCTGTATGTGTGTGTCTTTATATATGCATAATAAATATACACAGTACACACACATATATTATGTAAACAAAAACTTTTATTTTGGATGCGATTAATCGCGATTAATCATTTGACAGCACTATTTTAAACACAAATAATACTTTTATCAGGGGTTAAAGCAAAAAAAATATCCTGAGCCTGAAATTTTTTCCTGGGGCGGGGCAGGGCAGGGGTAGGGGATGGGATGGGGCAGCACATGCAAAGCATGCAAAGTGGCACGTGGCAACTTTAACATTTGAAAGGATACTATGGCAAAGTTATTGCTTTCCTTATTCAAACTGTTTTTTTTTCATGAATATATGGTTGACCTGAAGAATGAAAGCTTTATCATACACTTGGAAAATTATGAGCTATATCACTGCTTATCGACACTAGGGGTGTGACAATACACTTAGCTCACGAGATGAGACAAAATACAGATATTTGGTTCACTAGAACAAGACAATATTTTAATACTATTTTTAAGAAATTTTCAATTACAAAATATTTCTCTTTTAATTACAAAAAGTAAAACAATGCAGTTGCATTTTGAAATATTTTGCAAAGTGGCACGTGGCAACTTTAACATTTGAAAGGATACTATGGCAAAGTTATTGCTTTCCTTATTCAAACTGTTTTTTTTTCATGAATATATGGTTGACCTGAAGAATGAAAGCTATATCATACACTTGGAAAATTATGAGCTATATCACCGCTTATCGACACTAGGGGTGTGGCAATACAGACAGATGAGACAAAATACAGATATTTGGTTCACTAGAACAAGACAATATTTTAATACTATTTTTAAGAAATTTTCAATTACAAAATATTTCTCTTTTAATTACAAAAAGTAAAACAATGCAGTTGCATTTTGAAATATTTTAACTAATCTAGGGCTGTAACTAATGATTATATTGGTAATCAAGTAATCTACTGATTATTTTGACAATTGGGTAATCTGATATTTTTAGTAACACAAATAGACCTAATTGAAAACCAGGCTAGTATGATTGTTTATATGTAAACTAACGATGAGGCAATAATAATTGGCTCAAATAAAGTATCAAACCAAGTAATTACATGGTTTTATTGAACAACACTGTTAAAATACATAATGTAATATGCCTATACAGGGCCGGCGTGTGCATATAGGCGAACTAGGCAGCCGCCTAGGGCGGCAGCACAGTCATGGCGGTAAAAAGGACAGAGATTTTAGTTTATCTTTTGGGCATTCTTTGGAATTATTGCACTCATATCAACAAGTTATCACCCCTTAGTTATTATAACTCTAAATTAACTTAGCTTCATAGTAATGCCGCTCCTGCGCTGTGCCCCACCTGAGCGGCGTCAATATCACATGCAAACCACCCTCATGTAGGCTACTTCCATAAATGTCATCAAAATGAATAAAACTATCCGGACATGAATGACTTTTGCTACTGGTGATGTCTGATGAGTTTTAAAGCCCGACACGCGCTTCCCAAAGGTAAGATTATAGCCTACTGTGAGAGAAAACGTGGGGGAGACAGGTGGATACATCCACGTACATCCAAAAAACAAAAACAAAAAAAAAACACGGTTTTGGACCAAAATCATATATTTTTTTTTTTTAGCCAGGTAGCCTAGATATTTAGCCTTTATCATTTATAACGCTACGAATTAGTGGACCGATTACCAGCTTGCATCAGTTGCTTTTATAGTATGCACATATACTCTAAAAATCATGGTTATCATGGTTATACATTTTTTTGTGTTTGGGTAGTTTTTGTGTAACCCAGCTCCTGGGACAGGAGAGTCGCAACAACCCAGTGTTTGTAATGAGCGCAGATATTTTGCATTCTCTTCAGGTAAGAGTAGTTCTCAGTGCCGCCGACTTGCATTTCTTTGGTCAAATATAGGTTTGTGTATGTTTTATTTAATCTATAAAACAGTTTCTTTGCTGTAAATCATTTTATTTTATGCAAAGCAAACCAAGTCACCTAAACAAGCCGCATCAGTCTTTTTGCGACGATTAAATGTTTCATTTTTACTTCTAAAATGCTTGTTAAACGAGTTTAAATGTAAGAAATGTTGTATACATGTTTAAACGGTAAAATATGTTGTATTAAGAACTGTATTTAACTAAAAGGCATTTAGAGAAAGAAAGAATGGGGGATTCAATCACTTCAACGTCCGTTATAGACAGCCCAAAAGTCAATATTAAGTCCAAAGTGTGCCCTTGTAGATGTGTAGGATGGCTAACCCATTGCAGCAAATTAAAAGAGTCAATGGTGTTCAGGAATTCAGTGGATAACTGTTTAGAGGGGCAACACACATGGACATTGAAGTCACCAACTAAAAGAAATCGGTCATGTTTAGTAACCAGGTCCCCTATGAATTCAGAAAATTCCGCTATAAAACCATTTACTAAGTGAGGTGGCCGATATACCAAAACTAGGACTATTGGTTCAGACCAGTCAAGCAATAATATCTGAGATTCAAAGCTTGTATATGTGGCAGAGGATAATAGACGACAACGTGATTTAAAAGTTTTCCTTGTGATAATAGCCAATCCTCCTCCCCTTCCAATAGGTCGGGGAGCATCGTAAAAACAATAATCTGCTGGAACAAGTTCAGAATAGGGGCTTAAGTCTCCTTTCTTCACCCACGTTTCAGTAATAAGCAAGAAGTCCAGATTTTGAGAGGACATAAAATCATTAAGAATGTAGGTCTTGTTAACCAGAGAATGAGCGTTGATCAGCGCCATTTTTGGAGAACGCAGAGTGTTTCGTGAGACCGGGGTTTTACTCACGGATCGAAGATTAGCAGGGTAAGATATATATATATATAGACGGTCTTATGCCTTCACAATAATTGCAAGGCAACATTGAATATATGCCACTTTTTAAAAGATAGTTCACCCAAGAATGAATATTCTGTTATCATTTAGGCTACTCACCCCCATGTCGTCCCA